TTTTTTTAATATTTTTTTATTTATTTTCGGGAGAGGAAGAGAGAAAAAAATTGATTTGAGAGAGAAACATCAACTGGCTGCCTCCTGCACGCCCCCTGCTGGGGATGGAGCCTTCAACCCTGGCATGTGTCCTTGACTGGGAATCGAACCTGGGACCTCCGGGCTCACAGGTCGACGCTCAACCACTGAGTCACACGGGCCGGGCCACCAGCTCCTCTCTCTCTCTCTCTCTCTCTCTCTCTCTCTCTCTCTGATAGAAGCCAGAATTCTCTCTCTCCAGGCCTGGAATCCGGACCTCGTTTTCCCCGTGGCAGAGCCTTCCTTGGGCTTTGGGCCAGCTGGTCGGGCTCTTGGGCTGTATTAATAGAAGCAGAGGCTATGGGTCCAGGGAGGGGGACGTTCACCTACGGGTGACCCGTCTCCGGGTCGCTGTTAAATGAGATAATACACGCAGGGGCCAGCGCAGTGCCTGTCGCCTGGGAGACAGCCCTCAAACAGGGACTGTGGCTGAGGCAGAGCCGGCCCGGTCTGTCTGGGTGGGACCGGGTTCTGCGTTTTTATCAAAACTGATGGTCAGGCTCTGGCTGGTGTGGCTCAGTGGATAGAGCGTCGGCCTGCAGACGGAAGGGTCCCGGGTTTGATTCCAGTCAAGGGCATGGACCTGGGTTGCGGGTACATCCCCAGTGGGGGGCATGCAGGAGGCAGCTGATCGATGTTTCTCTCTCATCGATGTTTCTATCTCTCTCCCTTCCTCTCTGTAAAAAATTAATTATTTAACAACAAAAAGAAGTTTAATGTTAAAAATGCTGTATTGCTATATGTTTTTAGTAGGCATTATGGCGCTCTCCTAATTCGTAAACAATGACCTTCACATTGCTCCTTCCTTTTCCTCACAGGGAGGCCGTGTTGAGATTGAAGCCGTAGCTGTCCAAGGCCCTCTCACATCAGCATGACTATAAGTGGGCCCGGGGTTATTTGAGTCTGGAATTCTAATAATTTTTGTGAATTAACATCTTAATTTTTACAATCGATGTTGGAAAGTATAAGACTGACTAAAATATCTGAAGTATTATGGAAATACCATTATAATAAGGGCAATTGAACATGAATTGAAAATGAGGTGATGAATCCGGTTAGTGATATAAATTTCATTTATGCACACTCATAAGTGAGAAAAAAAGAGTATAGCTAATTCAGTTAAATCCTTTTAATTTAATGTTGTGAAATATTCAATTCTCATGTCAGATATATGATTCTGCTTTTATTTGAGTTAAATTAAAAATTTAAGTTTGAAT